GGGGCAAACACGGTAACGACCCGGGAGAGGGAGCTAAAGACAATTCCATCCCCTGATTAAACCAGTCCCAGCCAACAGCTCAAGGCAAACCTCATGCAATTAAGGAAAAAAGGTAAAAGCTACTGCCTGAGATGGTGCCTTTTCAAGTCCACTTAAGAGTTGCATATAAATGACTGCATTTGCCACCAAAAAAACTTTAAAATATTAACACAAGTTGTACTTTTCATACAAACTACAGGATGCCTTCTTAAAGAGAGAAACTCTTCCAAAAGAGTGCTGCGGCAGAATTTGTAAGTGGAGGCTTTTGAACGCAGTGCTGCAGAGGGAGAACCCACAGTGACAATTACGCGGTTAATTCTGTTACGATGAAAGACCCGATGAATCACACCTCAGCTGGTCAGTTCAGAATTTTCAATAAGCTAAAGCAATTAAAGCTCACAGTTTTCCAAAGAGCAATGAGACACTTAAGAGGCTCAGGTCCAGCTGCTTACCCCAGTCTTCAATCTATAACCGAGCAGAAAATTTAAAAAAAAATAAAAAATAAAAAGAGGTCCCAATGAGAGAACCCTGAACAGAGATCGGCGTGAATCTGGATGACACCCAGCTCTGCTCTCCGGGAAGGGGACACGTTCCCTGCCCAGGGCAGGTCGCCACGCTCTGACACCGTGAAAAATTCCCTTCCTTCCCCTCATCCCTCCTCCACCGCTGGATTCAGAGCGCACATTAACTCCGGGTGCCCAGCCAAGTCCACTCTTCCCATCACGCTGCCCTCCCCGAATACGAGAGGGATGTGATGCTTTTCAGGCTCCGTCCCCAGCACTGACAGGCAAAACACAGCGGCGAGGACTTGCAGGTGCTTATCCAGCAATAAAACACCCACGGGCTTTTCCTCAAAAGCAGAGAACTGCCTCGTGCTATTTAAAACCGAATGGTAATGAAATAATCACACAGCAAAGGATTACCTTTCACAACCCATCCTCTGCTAAACATCGGCTTGAGCTGGAGGAGGTCACAGTTACGCTCAGTCAAAACTGTGCTACAACGAGTGCAAAGGGAAATAATCCTGCTTCATGGCTCTCCACGGAAAGAACCACTCTCTTAAGTCGCACACCAACTCAAACACTGGTTTATTTACCAATCTGGAGTCCTCAGCACAGGAAGGACATGGACTTGTTGGAGCGGGGCCAGAGGAGGCCACCAGGATTCTCCAAGAGCCAGAGCCCCTCTGCTGTGAGGACAGGCTGAGAGAGTTGGGGGGGTTCAGTCTGGAGAAGAGAAGGCTCCGGGGAGACCCTGGAGCCCCTTCCGGTCCCTAAAGGGGCTTTAAGGTCCCTTCCAACCCAAACCATTCTATGATTCTATGATTATTGCTGACCATCTTGATTTAACTGTTAAGAGGCTGCAGAGTTAAGAATTTAGGGGAAAGACACAAACCTAAAGAGGAAATGAACCCTTTAAAGCATCCCCATTCTCCACAACCGGTCCTCAGCTGCACTCCACGGCACTAAGACAGGGCTGGAAGAGAAGATACCTTGAAAATAGCCTACGCTACAGTTTTTAGGCTGCTCTTTCCCAGTGGTTAATTATTAAAATACAAAAATACCATGTTTAAATATAGCACTGCGGTTCAGACTTAGTTGTAGCCTGAACACTCAGTTCCGATTTGTTTTGGCTTAACCTGTTTTTTTCCACTGAAGCACCGAGCGTCCGTCCCTGGGCAGGTTGTGGGGTGGGTTTGGGGTGGGGATTTTAGGCTTTGAGGAAGGGGTTTGTTGGAGTTTCTTTCTACACCCACAAAAAGCCACAAAATCCTTTTGCCTCCTAAATGAATACAATCATATCTGTTACTACTAGTCTAGAGGAGAAGCTGGCTCCACGCTGTGAAGTTGTTTTGGCCAACGAGGACTGAAACCCTACCAAGAAAGACAACAAACTATTGCAAAGTCAAAGCCTTTGGGAGAAGGAAAGGCTTCAAGGGTGGGAGAGAGCCCTTCAGCAAACCCCAAGGCTGCGATGGGAAGGAGCTGTGGAGCAGTTACCAGCACTGAGGCACTGATTTATTTTCACGTTTGCCTACGTTTTACCAAAGAGTAAAAATACCCCAAAAAAAGGAGCTGGGTGCGGCCGAGAGTCATCCCAGGGCTGGGGAAGTGGTAAAGTCTTCCAGGCAGGCAGGCAGCCACGAAAACATAGCAACTGGCAATTTACTCCAAAACAGAACTTTATCTTAAAACAAACTCTCCCGAGTGACTGGGTTCTGATTAATGGAGAAAAAGGTATTTGTTTGTAGAAGGCCAGTAAAAGCCAAGGCAGCCTGGAGGAGAGGCTGGGTGCTGAGGTTTGTTCTGCCGAGACAGAGGGTATTTCAGCCCCAGAGCCCTGGCAAAGCGATTCCCCACCTCACGGCACTCGCGGCAGAGGCACCTCATGGCTTTCGACATGAGCAGGATGCAGAGTATCTCCACTTCTCCAACACCACCCTGCAGCACGAGCAGGAGACCCACAGATGGACAGGTCCTACATCTCCTGTGGAGACAACAGTGGCAGGAGGGCATGGAAGCCTCCAGGGACCGACCTTCCTCCTCCCCCTCCTCGGACACACACGGCCCCGCAGAGGCTCCGCTCTGCAGCCAGCCCCGACACACTTCGTTTCCACTCCCCTGCCCTGACGGATGTGAAACCGTGGGGTCCATATTAATCCTCCCAACACCGAAATCTGGAGCCAGCAAATCCATTGAGACAGACAGAGGACAATTAAACAAGTCTCCGGGTCTTTTATCACCAAAATAAAAGACAGCTTCACGCGATACGAGCTGTCTGCAGCAGCTCATCTGCATGCAGGGAAAGGAAGCTTCATTCAGAAAGCACAAAATCGAGTGGCACCCCATTAACGTGACTCCCCCCCCAAGGTTCAGGGGGGGGTCTTGATGCTAATGGAGCTTTCTGGAAGGGGCTTAGTAAAACCTCACCTACAGCTGGAAAGCCCTCCCATTTACTGTTGGAATAAATGCAGCAGGTTTGTGCTCAGTCTCTGCATGCTGCATCAGTGGTTCCCAAGGACATAGCAAGGTTGTCCTGGGAGAAGAAAAAAAAAAAAAACATATACACACATGTAGATGCCAGCATTTGGATGACCAGATATTGCCAGGAGATACAACTCTCCTACCCCAGGCAGTTTATAAGCAGAGTCTCCCCCCTCCATCCATCGTGGTCAGAGCATCCAGATGCTTCGGATCCGCATCGCTGCTCTGCAGCCCCACATCTCCGCTGCCCCCCGCATCCCTCACCCAGCCCCAGGCTCCCAGCCCCACAACACAGCTCTGTTCAGAGTAAATACGTGCTTCCTCACTTCGAAATGAAGGCAGCCAAGCCATAGGGGAGGTTGCCTACGTTAACTGGGAGGCTGGAGGTGTGCCCAAGACACCAGACTACATCAGCCAACCCTTCCATGCAGCGCTCGCTTTCCAACACCTCCCTCACATGCACACAAACACACGCTCCTTTGTGGGGAGTTTATTTTCGAGAAGCCAAATGTTACCATTAAAATCCAGATACACCTTGGTAGATATAGGAGAGCCCCTTTTGATGCTTTTATCCTGGAAAAAACAGCCTTTGGAGTTAACTCGGGCGCACTGAAGGACAACTCCAATGAAGTGTCTTCCCCTTAAACCACAATAACAACTTCAGACTTGTTAAATCAGGTACAGAATGAGAGATAACAGGTCCCCACCTTCTCCTGCTCTGCACGGGCTCCTCGCTGCAGCACCAGCCCCTGATGGGCAGCCTCAACAGGGACCACGTGTTATCAGAGGGATAACTTCCAGCTGAAGGTGTGTCCGTGCCCATACACACACACGTAACTACAGCATGTTGCCTCTAGGAACCAAACCAGCAGAAAAACAACATATTTTTTTCCCCTTGGGATGCTTTCTGTGGTTCAGCAGCTCACCCGAAGGTGACAGAACCATCCCCACCTCTGTGACACAGGGGGACTCTCTACACCTACTTGAAAGGACGTTGTAGAGAGGTTGGTGCTGGTCTCTCCCCACAGGTAATTAGCGATACAACCAGAGGGAATGGCTTCAAGCTGCAATAGGGTAGGGT